CCTTTAATACATTTCATACAATGCTACGTTACTACATGGCTGTGTGTGTGTTCAGGGACCTTTAATACATTTCATACAATGCTACGTTACTACATGGCTATGTCTGTGTGTGTTCAGGGGCCTTTAATACAATGCTACGTTACTACATGGCTATGTGTGTGTGTTCAGGGACCTTTAATACATTTCATACAATGCTACGTTACTACATGGCTATGTGTGTGTTCAGGGACCTTTAATACAATGCTACGTTACTACATGGCTGTGTGTGTGTGTTCAGGGACCTTTAATACATTTCATACAATGCTACGTTACTACATGGCTATGTGTGTGTGTGCAGGGACCTTTAATACATTTCATACAATGCTACGTTACTACATGGCTATGTGTGTGTGTGTTCAGGGACCTTTAATACAATGCTACGTTACTACATGGCTGTGTGTGTGTGTTCAGGGACCTTTAATACATTTCATACAATGCTACGTTACTACATGGCTATGTGTGTGTGTGCAGGGACCTTTAATACATTTCATACAATGCTACGTTACTACATGGCTATGTGTGTGTGTTCACACACTATGTGTGTGTGTGTTCAGGGACCTTTAATACAATGCTACGTTACTACATGGCTGTGTGTGTGTGTGTGTTCAGGGACCTTTAATACATTTCATACAATGCTACGTTACTACATGGCTATGTGTGTGTGTGTTCACACACTATGTGTGTGTGTTTTCAGGGACCTTTAATACAATGCTACGTTACTACATGGCTGTGTGTGTGTGTTCAGGGACCTGAACATACAATGCTACGTTACTACGTGGCTATGTGTGTGTGTGTTCAGGGACCTTTAATACAATGCTACGTTACTACATGGCTATGTGTGTGTGTTCAGGGACCTTTAATACAATGCTACGTTACTACATGGCTATGTGTGTGTGTTCAGGGACCTTTAATACAATGCTACGTTACTACATGGCTATGTGTGTGTGTTCAGGGACCTTTAATACATTTCATACAATGCTACGTTACTACATGGCTATGTGT